TCAAATCAACGTTTTGTAACCACGGAGCATACTCAACGGCAATGTAACGTCAAAAACATAGCGTCAAGAACATAAAAAAATACAATCCCTATACATTTTACACAATATAGTTCCCTAATCACTTATTAAAGACCTTTTTCTAGCAATTGACTTTATTTTTCTAACAATATAATTGTTCTCCTTGCATAATTTCCTTTCTGAAAAGGGGCTGGACAGAGTTTCAACTGATTTTTTAAAACCAGTTTTAATGTTTACAATTCTTACCTAAGGCATCATGTATATTGATTTGCAAAAAATTGAACATCATTTGTTTATTAACAAACAAGAAACAGAACTTGGAATTCTTTATAATGAAAACAAGGCTCGTGTCATGTTTTTGTTTACGTATAGAAAATATATTTATAACAAAATGAAGTTTAACAAATTTTTAGTTACTGTCGAATCGTATTTAAAATTAACTCTTATTTGAAATTATATACTTTGAACGAACATATATTATAATATCAACCTGGGTAAACAAAAACACGACACTAGCCTTGTTTACATAACAGAGGTTTGGAGCTCTAAATCTGTCTTGTATCTGGACAACTGGTGCAAAAATTTTTGATGATAATTAGAAAGGCCGAAGTTAAATATTTGTAAAAATGGAAAAATAAATTTTGAAATTTTAGCTGAAACTGTGTCCATGCCCCTTTAAAGGGGCATGGGCACAGTTTCCACTGAATTTCTAAAATCAATTTTAATGTTTACAATTCCTAACTAAGGCATCATCTAATGATCAGCAAACATTTGAACATCATTTGTTGATTAATAAGCGAGACACTTTAAGTTCTTAATAATGTAGACAAGGCTCGTGCCTTTTTTTATTTACAAATTTAGAAAATATCATATTTATAACAAAAAGAAATTCAGCAAATCAATAGAAATTGTCGAATTGAATTTAGAATTTACTTCTTTATTGTTATCTGCATTGAGCTAACATATAGTATATCAACCAATGTAAACAAACACATGACACGGACCCTGTTTACATTACAAAGGTTTGGAGCTCTAAATACAGCTCTACGCACTTTTTAAGCTCACGTGGTTTTTCGCACAAATTAAGGTTGCATTGTTTCAATGCGAAATTGTATAACGTGACAACAAAATATATATTAAGAATGATTTATAACAGCTTTATTTTGATCATATTCCACTACTTTAAACATAATTCACACATATAATGATAGGTAGGATTTCTATATGCTCTTGAATGATAAATTATAAGAGGTTCCACATGGTTTTTTCATGGTTTCTCATCAAATGCAATCTTCTTTGTATCCGTTCATTTTGAATCATACTTTTGCCTTGCCTAAGTACAGAAATGCAGTTCATGTAACTTCCGTATTTTCTGTACATTAAGAAGGTACTTAGGCGCAAGATGAAAGTATTTCTCATGTGTCCGACTGCTTTCCATGTTACAAAGATGGCATTTTTCAGGTTAACTTCCCGAAATCTACCATCATGAAAGATACCTTCCAAGGCAAAATTTCAAATTTTCAGACCATAACAGATTTAGGGGCAATATGAAAACCATCTATCCTTGCGTATTCAATAATCAAGAAGTGATAAAAGGAATTAGGTAGATTACATGATCAGTACGTAATGGCCCCTGCCGACAAAGCAGGAAACAACATTGTAAGGCTCATTATGTTAATTGTATTTTAGAAGAACTTGGATTTAATTCTACAAGTGGTAATCCTACTTATACTCATGCTTCCCTTTCTAAGGAAGAAATTCTTCAAAATCGTATTCTAGTTTTAAATATTTTTAATATTCCACAGAGCCAAAATGAATTTGAACTTCCCTATATATACTGGATTCCGAAACTTCATAAAAATCCTTACAAAGATACATCGAGGGTTCCAGTAAATACTTCCCTTTCTAAGGAAGAAATTCTTCAAAATCGTATTCTAGTTTTAAATATTTTTAATATTCCACAGAGCCAAAATGAATTTGAACTATACTCTATATATATTGGATTCCGAAACTTCACAAAAATCCTTACAAAGATACATCGAGGGTTCCAGTAAATGTTCAACCGAGCCTCTTTCGTTACTCCTCACTAAGATATTGACAGTAGTAAAGGAAAAACTTCAAGAGTACCATGCAACAATATATTCAAGAAGTGGTGTGAATCAGATGTGGATACTCAAAAATTCCAAAGAACTCTTGGACAATTTGAAATCACAGGAAATTACCAAAATCAACAGCTTCAAAACTTACGACTTTCCAACTTTAAACACAACCATTCCCCACGACAAATTAAACCCCAGCCTTTTTTATATCATTGACAACTGCTTTTTCAATAAAAATGGAACTCTTAAATTTACTTACCTTGTCATTGGTCATTTGCAAAATTATTTTGTTAAAAAAACATTCTGATTGCACACACAAGTTCTCTGAAATTGACATCAAAGAGATGCTTAAGTTTCTAATTGACAATATCTATGTGGTTTTTGGAGACCAGGTCTTCCAACAATCTATTGGAATTCCAATGGGAACCAATTGTGCTCCGTTATTAACAAACCTATTTTTTGTATTCATATGAATAAGAATTTATGCAAAATCTTATGCGTGAAAAGAAGAAAACACTTGCTGTGGCCAACTCGACCTTCAGATATATCGACGATGTATTGTCAATTAACAATGGTAATTTCCATTCCCAAGTCCATAAGATACATCCAGGAGAGCTTGAGATAAAAGATACCACAGACTCTGACACACCTGTTTCATACTTGGATATTTTACTTGAAAAAGACGTTAATGGTTACCTAACAACCAAGTTTTATGATAAACGTGACGACTTTAACTTTTCTATCGTCAACTTCCCTTACTTATGCAGCAAAAAACCTTCATCACCTGCATACGGAGTGTATATATCTCAGTTGATTCGATAAGCAAGAGAATGATCAACGTATGAACAATTTCTAAAACGAGGTAAATATTTGCAAGCAAGTTGATTAAACAAGGGTAACAGCGTTTAAAGTCGTTTAAAGTCATCATTTATTTCACGATCATGACAATGAGCACACGGCGGGTGTGACCGGTCAGTAGGGATGCTCACTCCTCCATGGCACCTGATCCCATCTCTGATGTTTCGGAGGTTCGTGTTTGCTCTGCTCCTATTTTGTATTGTTTTATGGACTTCGATATTGAATACTGTTCGTTATATCCATATCCTTTATATATATTCTAAGTTGCAAGATCTTTTATTGGATTGGATTTCAACAAAAACCTTTTTACCTTGACCTCGGAGATATTCATACTTGTGAAAAAAATTTGACCTTGGTTATAACTTTTGAACGGGAAAGGATAGGGCTTTCATACGTCACATTTGTAATCCTTGTGAAAAGACCTTTCATTTTTGATACCAAAATCAAAACCTGACTATTACTTTTAAAGAGTTAGGACTAGTATTTTCATACTTTACATATTTAATCCTTGTTACTTGATAGCAAGACCTTTGACCTTGGAATTTAAACAACTTTTTTAAAATTTTTAACTTTAGCCATAACTTCTGAATGGTTTGGGCTAGGGCTTCCATACGTCACATACCTTTTTTGTGGCAAGAGCTTTCACTGGATACCAATGCCTTGAAGATTTCCGTACTTGTGTAAAAACTTTAACCTTGGCTTACTTTCATATTTCCCAATTGTACTTCCAGAGAGAATACCCTACTTTTGGTACCAATATAATAAATTTGCATTTAAGACAATTTCATCTCTGCTATGTTGTCATAGGGGTATCAGTGTTTCACAAACACATCTACAATGTTGTTATATTATGATTATTAGTGGTTTACTATATTAGAATAATATAATATACCGGTAATACAAATCACAATAATTGAAAGTTGACGCCACCTGTACACATGAGAGGAAATTTAAAAGAATTCGGTGCTCTCTTTTCTTTATTAAAAGAAGCTATAACAACACAAAGTTTAAAGCAAACTTCAACTCTGATTAATTAAATAAAAATACATGCATTAAAAATTTGTTCATCAATTACAAGTAAATTTGCATGTAACAATATATGGAAATAAAGAACAATATTCAAGCTCAAAAGTCCATTACATAATTCAAAAAAGCATGGACCTCCAAAACATTGAATTATTTTTAAAAAAGTTTTGTTTTAAATGTTGATATTTGGTTGTCAGGACTCACATTTTTATATTCTTATTTTAAAAAAAATTGTTGACAAAAGTATGTTCCTTTTACATTATTCTGTTTCATATAAAAAATCTTGATATAGATTGGTTTATTGTTTTACAGTTGAACTGAACTCCTCATAACGCTTAAACCTTAATATAATTTGTTCAATGACTTGAACATTAGTTAAGACATTTATACAAATTAAAATTAGTAAGGCAAAAACTTACAATAACGGACAACAATTAATCTCAGCATAGAACACAAATCGTAAACAGGACAAACACGCACTCCTGGTAAGAACATAGGCGGGATCAGGTGCCTTAGAAGGATTAACATCTCCTGTTGATCTTAAACACCAGCGCTATATCCATGTATTCCAATTGTTATTAGGTAGAAATTTAGTACAGAGACAATGCTTAAGATTTATTAATTTGAAATGGATGTAATAGACTAGAGAAATTTTTTTGAAGAAAAATAATATACAGTATCTTTTTAGTATTTACCTTCAGCCGTGAAATAGAATAATTATACTGTAAACCAACTTTTATTCGCGTGCAAGAAATTTTCGCAACGTTCGCGAGAGCCTCGTAATCGCGAATATTTCTCGCCGCGAACGCGTCCATAAAGTCTCTTTTTCTACTAAAACAGTTTCACAAAGGCTTGATCGCGAAAATAAATCGTTGCATGCGAACTAGCTATAGTTTACTCTCGGTAAATCGCGAAATGAAGTCGTCGCGAATAAAAGTTGATTTACAGTATTCTACGTTTTTTAACACAGGTTGGTATTGTCCTATGCAGCTTCCATGGTTAAAGTTTGAGTTTTCCCTTCAGATTACACACTGGGGGGTTGGTATTAAAATCATCAGGGTCAGGCAAGTCATAGAAGTACACGTTGAGCTCTCTATCAATGACCAGATATCTGTTTGTGTCTTGCTGACCAGTTATGGCTACCGTGTTGTCTGGCAGGTTATACCACGGATTTATTGGTTTTTGATTTCCGTCCTTCCCTGAAATGTCATATTTATCAAAAGTCCCTTCGTGAGGTGGCTGGTTTCTATAATACCAAATCGCTGGCTTTCCTGACTCCCCGAAAAACAGCTCTTGTGCCCCATGTCCCCTGTACACTCCCCATTTAACGGTACTGAAGATATTTGTTGCTCCGTAGTACAGCGACTGTAGAATGTAGTCGCTTTTGGTTGTAGGATAACCGGCATATTCAACAATATCCCCGCTCTTCTGCGTCCAGCGAAATACACGATCATCAAAATCTGAAAATATAAAATTCACAGAACTGTATCGTGAAAATATTCTCCAATATCCCCCTGCAATTTTGCGATCAAATTTACTTAGATTACATTTTCAATAATGGAACTGCTTAAAACAGATAAATGTTCTGTTTTATTTTTTTTAAAATGACTCACACAAACTTATATTCATGATATATTCAAATGTATGACCTGTGTGGATTGTTCAAAAATAAAATAGTGTGATTGGTTAAACCTCATTCTAAAAGTAAGGAAAATGCGCACTATAACATGTATAATAGACAAAACAGGGCTTTAATAGCAGAAAAATATTCATATATATATTAAAAAGAAAAACTACATAAACTTGAACATTTTCTGCTAAGTATCTTAATTTAGCAGAAAACGTGGCCATATGTTTAATGAACAATGAAAATGTTTAAAATAATAATCTAAACAATATAAATGTGAGCCGAGTCAACCAAAACCTCTTTAAACTGAGGTGGGATCAGGTGCCATGAAGAAGTAAGCATCTTCTGAAGAGCGGTTACGCCCCCCTTATACCCCTTCTCATGATCGGGTGCACAGAAAATCGGTCTCAATTAAGTTAGAAAATAACAGCATAACAATTTATGTGAAACTGAACGTAAAACGCTAAATGTTTTAATCAATATACAAGGGCCGTTCAAAAATTACGCGGACTCTGCTATCATTTATTTTTAGAGACGTCATATAGCTATGAAATTTCACAGAAATATGTATCTCAAAGATTCCAATACATTTTTGGCAAAATTTTTGTATTTCAAAATAATTGTTTTCAAATTATCGCCGTGTTGATATCGCTGATGGAGAGGTACGGAGTACGACAAAAAGTTTTAAACAAAAACATCAGGAATTCAAAATTTAACTCATTAATTTTCTATAATTCGCGATATTTTTGGACAATTTTCTCAAAATTATCCATACATTGTTTTATTATTGTATATCAAAAAATCTGGCGTGATATTTGCAGTACTAACAGAAATATAATGATTTTTCTGCGACGCTATCCTTGTGAAGATGACTGTAAAAATGACGTATCCTAATTTGACTGAGCTCTACCTTTTTCCTAAATTATGTGTAATGCTCAAGATTTCGTCAATTATATAGATCCAAACTATGCATAATAAAACATGTAGTAAATTAGGGTACTCGAGACATGTCTACAAATAGGAAATTGGAATTTTAGGCTGTTAGATCTCTGTAAGTAGGCTATACGGGAGGTCGGGAAGAGGATTATCGACGAAAACTTGAACCAAACTGTAAAGAACGTGATTGAGAGTGACCGATGTCACACTATATCACATTAATACCTGAAATATTTGGTTTTAAAACCAAAAGAATGCTTTACTTGTTTTATTTTAAGCTTAACAAGAATTTGTGTATAGATTTTGAGTAGATAAGGTAACTCAAACTGTACAGGAACTCTTGGAAAAATGTTGAGAAAATGAAAGCTCATATTTTTACAATGCCCGTGACTTCGAAGATTTTGCTGCTCCGTGACTTTATGATTTGTCCAGATAAATCCCCCGAAATTGATACCAATTTTCAACATTTTGATATGAAATTTTGAAGACCATATAAGTAAAGATTCTTTAATATAATGTGTGACATTTTGTCCGATTATGTCGTTAAATATTTTTTTCTGTGCAAATCGGATGTGAGACAAACTCCATTTGCAGGTGAAAATAGTACCCGGAATGTGGCTATACAAATAATTTGTTATCATGTTTTGTTGTTAGTTTGTATTCCATGTCTTTCTTCAGTAATAAAAATTCAAATATGAGACACACATTTTGTGTTGTCTTTCACTTTAATTTCAAAAGGATTTCGTAGAAATGAAGAAATGGAGCTTTGTTAATTGATACAACGTAGTCATTAAATTGTAAAATGACGAATCGAATGCCACAGCAGGAAATTATCATAATGTCATGTACGCGTCATAGTTGAGTTCAAATGAGTACATGTGTATAGAATCGGGACAAATTGTCATTTGACACAAAAACATGTATGTGCAGAACCCACAAGTATGGCACGCCACATTCACAAAAATGAGCTAAACATACTTTCACAATTAACTAAACTACGTTTATCGACTGTAAACTATAGTTTACAAATCGTGAATTATACGAGTTAACAATTCGTTAACCATAGTTTTCATCTGTAAAACTATATTTAACGGCTGTGAACTAAAGTTTACGAATGTTAATTTAAGTTATTTTGTCTTTAATAAAACGTTTACAATAGATTTTGTTGATAAACATAAATTTACTTCTGTTAACTATTATTTACAATCGTGAACTATAGTTAAAAGTTGTTAATCATAGTTTCACAAATATAAGTAGAAATTTTAGCGAGGATTTAATTTTGGCATTATTAGTGAGGGTGATGAGATCGCTAAAATTACATATAGCTGAAAATTTATTGCGTTTTATTTGTAATAGGTTCTTCAATGAACATTTTAAATCGCTAGAATTGCATTTCGCTTAAAATAAAATCCCAGTTTTTAAGGACAAATCGCTAAATTTGCGTCTCGCTAAAATTTCCACTTATACGGTAGGTTACGGTCCTGAAACATAGATTATCGCGTTAACTATGGTTAACAGATGTAAAATATATTTTTATTTACAACCAATAAACCTATTATATAAACTGTGGAACTATGATTAGCTCATTTTCGTTAATTTGGCGTGTCATACACAAGAATTTAAGGGGGGGGGGGGAGGGGGTATCCGGTCACCTTCAGTGCAGTGAGAACAAAATGTAAACATTTCTTTAAATGGCTAAAACACATTATATTTTGAATAAATTTTGAGTCCTTATGATAAAGATACAATAAATATGCATAACTGAATGCATTACATGTATAATTTATACTTTTGCAGAAAATGCTTTTAATATGCTCTTTAAAACTACACAGCTACAGAATTCAGCAGAGCCTTAAAAAATCCAAAAAATATGCAAACTGTGTATTAATGTTCTCTCTACAATCATTTCTTGAGAAAATGTCTAAATTTTGCACTTTTAAATGGTAATTTTAAGTTCAAAACAAGGTACTGTTGTCTTCAAAATGAGTATAAAGAACCATGAAAGTAGTTCATGGATAGCAGCGCGTGGTCTATTTTTAGCACAGAATTTTGTTTTCCAGACTTCTTTTTAATATGGAGGGACATAACAATCTTTAAAAGTAGAAGAGAATTACAGTTGCAAAAGATTTCAAATAATATGAACACTTCTAAAATAGGAAATGTGTTATAGTGCGGCTTCAAGTAATTTATTTAGTAATATGTTGACGGTGCGACCGTTAGAGCGAGCGCAAACTCTTCGATTGTTTCAATTTAGATCGGGCTCGTCAAACCGCACGTGACATTTGGTGCGTCTAGACTCTGACGTCACATGACGTCGTATGTGAGTTTCAATTCCAAGAAAAAGCCTAAACAGTGCTGAAAGTTAATGAAGAACGTTTTGCTTTCTATTTATCTTCAATATATATCCATTAAATCAAGGCGGGTAAACTTTTTGTTGAACATTTGTCGTTATTCTCGCGAGAACGTAGCTAAAACAAGTGATGCATTGTGGGTCGAAATTATGGCATCAAAAAATTCTATCGAATGAATGTGCAGTAGTCCGAATTTTCTCTTCGCACAGGCGTTGCTTTAAGAGCTCGGAGTGACGAGCGTCGCTTCGCGACGCTCGCTGCGCTCGCTATTATTATCGAACAGTTGTTAAATATTGTACGTATTGATGTAATAAAATTCGTTAACTCTTTGATTCCAGGTAAAGAAAAATGAGCACCATCAAAGCTTAAAATTAAGAGTTTGTAAGTCTGCCACAGATGAACTTATTTTATCTATCAAAATCTAAATTATCACCAATGAAGCACAAAGAAAATTAGACACATAAAATCGATATGAATGACCTTGTTTTAGTACCTACTAGTACGAGGGGTGATCAAAAAGTTCAAATCTATCTACATCTACAAAACCACAATTCAGATTAGAATCAAATTTGGTACACACATACAAGTTCTATAAAAAGCTCATGCTGAATAAAGTTTTGCTCTTTGTTTTTAACGTCACAGTGTAAAAATGACGTCATTATGCAGGTCACTTGTGGCGAAAAATGGTTGTCTCAGTGGAAGTCGCAAACTTCCGCCAGAGTTCTTTTGTACCAAACCAAAAGTTTGTTAGTACCAAACCTGTGTCTGTGTGCGGAGACCCAGAGGACTATAGATAGTATGTGGAACTCGTTCAACAAACGACTGTCATATTTATGGAATATCTTAGAAATACCTTTGAAGTAGCGTATAAGAATTTGTACACAGTTTATTTAGACAAATGACTTCCTATAATTTCAATCAATGAGTGGATAGATCGTTTTAGTGAAGGAAGGTAGATGGTTAAATATGATACTTGTTTTGTTGCCCGGTGAAAGCAAGTTTGAAATCATGATTTTAACAAACTTGAATCTACACTACCTGAGGATGCTTCAACACAATTCTGATCAGTTATGGCTTTGCTATTCTTTAGACGAAGATTTTCAAAGAATTTTCCTATATATTTCTATGTAAAACTTTGGTCGGCCATTTTGGCCCCGCCCTACCCCCAGGGGGTCTTGATTTGTACAAACTTGAATTTACACTACATGTACCTGAGGATGCTTCCATAAGAATATGATCAGTTATGTCTTTCCTATTCTTGATAAGATGATTTTTAAAGAATTTTCATATATATTTCTATGTAAAACTTTGGTCGGCAGTTTTGGCCCCGCCCTACCCCCGGGGGTCATTATATGAACAAACTGGAATCTACACTAACTGAGGATGATTCCGTATGAGTTTCATATTTCCTGGCACAGTGGTTCTTGAGAAGAAGATTTTTAAAACATACCACCAAATTTTCATTAATTCCCAATTATCTCCCCTTGAATGAGGGCGTGGCCCTTCATTAGAACAAATTTGAATCCCCTTCACCCAAGGATGCTTTGTGACAAGTTTGGTTAAAATTGGCCCAGTGGTTCTCGAGAAGAAGAAGAAAATGTGAAAAGTTTACAACAACGACGACGACGACGACAACGAAGACAGACAACGGACAAATTGTGATCAGAAAAGCTCACTTGAGCCTTTGGCTCAGGTGAGCTAAAAATCAACATAATTAAATATTTTAGACCATCTTTAAAATGATGTTTGTAGGTCCTCCCAACTCAGGGAAAAATTAATGGGTCCGTATTTATAGTTGAGAAAAAAAATCCTTAAAATTTAAACATATTTGTTGACGGAAGAAAAAGAAAAAAAATATCGTGTAATGGGATGTAAAAAAAAAACTGAGTCGGGCCATTTCTAGGCAGTAGGTTGGGAGAGAGGACAAACAAATGTTTTTATAAAAAGTGGTCTTAACAATATAAGGCTAGTACATGTTCCATCTCATACTAATTAGTAATGCAAAATTTTTTAAGCTTTGGCTCAATTTTGAAAAACAAACATAGGATTTTCGGGGAGTTGGGGTTGGAGTTTGCCTCTCACTCTTTTTTTTTTGCGAAGATAGGACATAGCATATGCAATGGACTTTACTTTGCAAACATTGTGCTCGCTTCTAAATTTCAAAGAAGCAACTTTATATATATTTTGTCAAACTTCATATGATTGTTTAATGAGTGAGAACTTACAACATTGTCAACATGATGAAGCATGATGTGTTTTTATGTCCAAACATTACTCCATACAATGTGTGGGTCATTGCAAACAATCTAGCTATTTATGTGAGGTGCCTAAAGGAAATCCTATAACTGCCTATTTTTCTATCTAACTGCAAAAGAAAATAGACATACGTACCAATTTTTCAAATGTAATACATATAATTACAATTTTTTTCATGCACCATATGTTGTTTAACATTTTCAAATTAAATGCTAAGCATCCTCCTTGCAGTGCCCCATTTGAAAATTACTTCTATCGCCAAAGAAAAGAGACCCGCCGTAAACACATGTTTAGGACATTTTTAATCTGTTTTCTTGAGTTTTAAAGAAACTAACAAATAAGCAAGACTTGTTCCGTGAAAAATTAAATATAATAATGGTAATAAACGCATCTATCCACAGCAGATATATATGCACTTGCCAACCACATACTCAGTGGAATGATATGATAGAGGAAACTCGAGCGATTAACAGAACAGTATTTCCCGATTTGATGGAGTGGGTTTAAAATCGCGTTTTGCATTAATCATATGATGCGATGCCACAAATAAAAGTAGTAAGTTATATAACCTAATGATTATTACTTAGTAATTTCTTGTATTGATGTTGTTAGGGTCGCATTTATTCTAAAATCAATGTTATTTGAACTCTGTGTGACAGAGGAATGGCGGACAAAATAAACACATGGTCTCAGGAAGACCCCATGTGAAAAATCAAATTTTCAAGAATTATGGATAATGACAAGAACAAAAGGAGATAAATGGTTGTAGCCATATTATCAATGAATCGAACTGACTTCATTTTCAATGCATTTTTCATATCGTTAATGCTGTAGCTGCGCGGTTCTAACATGATTAATTTTCTCCTTATTAAAACAAAATAAACTTAATTATTCACTAATTTTGGTCTCTAGCAGTAAGTAATGAGTGCATTACAAATGTAGCACTTTCAGTAACTTTGGGTTATTTTGGTAGAGTATTAAGCGCATTCTTTGTATTTCTTATTCTAAACCAGACTTGATCCAATATGGCTTGTACATCCCCCTTAAAATAAGGTTTATTTTCAAATAAAGCAATTTATGTTAAAAATTTCATGTATGTATTTTTGTGGATGTCAATGTGTTTATCTTTTTGTAATTTTACAAAACCTTTAATTTGTTAACCCGGTTCTTCCAGTGACCCAGTTTTACCGCGTCCATAAATTTTGTCAAGGCCCTAGCTATTTTCAGCCAATCAGATTGCCGCACAAGGCTTCCTATTTATATACTTCTTGTTTACTCGGAGTGCTGCCGCGTAATTTTTGTGAACAAAAAAGCAACCACCACCTCCACTCCATCCACCACATTTGTTTAATTAACCACATAATTTTTATTTGTGTGTCCTGAGGCGCTTTTTATGCACCACTTTTGTTTCCAATAAAGTTTGATGTTGTATTTTACCGCATTATCACATCTGTATGTTGTAACAATATTGTGGCTGGGAGACCATTGTTTTGTAATCATTTATTGAATTGCATTTTTTGTCAAGCTTTCCATGATTCTGTTATGTCTCCCAGCCAAATTCTTTGGTAATTGTTTTTTATAAATGGATTTCATTTTTGTCATTTAGATAAATGACAAGATTTTTACACTTAAGATATCTTCTGTTATGTATTTTGGAAACAAACAGAGCTGCTATGTTGCCTTGGTCTGCCAGTAAAGTTTTAACATAAAAAGTATTACGAAGATACATTTTAGATAATTTAAATGAGAAACTCCAGGTGTTTCAGATCATAATCGGTTCTTTTGGGTAGATATTCATTTTTTTTTTACAATAGAAGATTTTTGTAGATGACTGTAATTTCAAAAGTCGTTATACTTATTTACAAATTCCTTTTTTATTGATGAAGCAGATGTCCTTTATTAATGGCAAATAACATTCGTGTGTCTTTTTTCATTTGAAATCTATTGCAATTAAAAATAAAATAAAAATGAATGCACATACGTGTGAATAGATCATAGTAAGTATTGTAGTATGTCAACAAAGCAGCCCATGTTGATACATCTGGCATTGTGGGATATCCTGGAAACAGTTCACCAATCGTCATGTTCTTGCACGCTCCAGTGGTTAGGGAGTCGGCGTTGTCATAGAGATGGGCGCCTTGTGTGGTTACAAGGGCGATGTCGTGCCGCGAGTTTTTATAACATAGATCGTAGACGTCTATCATATCGATGATTGTCTAGATAAATCATAAAAAGGAATGGTGTAAGTTTCTTTAAATTTTTATTTTTAATAAGAATTTTCAAATGTTTTTGAACATAATTTTTCAATATACAGATTATCATGTTTATGATGTAACAGGAAAGGAGAAAATGTATGGTTGGACCAAGCATTGACTCTGGGACCCCATGCAGATGGCTTACCATCACCAAACCATTACAATAGTAAAACATTTAAACCTATTCTGGGGAACCAAATGGCTCTCAGTTCCCTCTCATAATGAAAGTAACCAGATAAGTATACAAAAAGAAGATACGAAATAAAATGAAATATCTTTAAGCACTGTTTTGGCGTATTAAAATTCTAATATGAAAAAATAAAAGTAAATTTATTCCCTGAAAATAATTCCGATACAACAATCTCCCTTTACAGGTTTTATAAAGAAAACATCTCAAAAGGCGTATGGTATGTATACGTATTAACTCCGCAAAAGATTTACTTTTATTTTTTTCATATTAGAATATTAATACATGCGAGTGATCTCATTCCACATTTGCCTGAGTAAGTCAAGTGAGTTATTAACTACTGCAAAAGCTTTCCAGTAATCATTTTAACATTAAATAGTTATAAAGTCTATCATTGAAGGAATTTGCCTCAGAAAATTGTTCTCTCTCCGGGAAACTGTAATCTTCCCAACTTCCGTAAATAGACTTAAAATGTATATACTAATCATTTTTTTTTTTTAAAAATGAAAAATAAATAACGATCTAATAAACTTTTTAAAAAAGTGATCAAAATATGTTATGTCTTAATACCTCTACTGATTTTTCATATATAGAAGTTAGACAGTTAAATGTAAATAAATCCTAAGAAATCTCTGAATGGACTAATCTCCGTGTCTTAGCCAAAAAAGCTAATCTCTGCTTCGGAAGCCAATTCCTCGGTTATCCATAATCTTCTTTTTGTATCGGTCTAATGTGTTAATTGACTAATCTCCTTGCGTTAAACCGGAAGCTAATTTCCAGCCATTCGTAATCCTTTGGTGTCTTTTACATTTGTATGGTTATTTGCTGCGCCTCGGAAACTAGTCCTGACCTCTGGGAACCGTTATCTTGCCAACTCCTTTAATGATAAACTTTAACTCTATAGTAATTAAAAACCAACAGAAATATAAGATAAACACGATTACATACTTCAGCATATTGCAACACTGTTGCCGCTGTTGTTGTCGTTGTCGTTCCTGCTGCTGCTGTCGTTGCTGTTGTTATCGCAGCTGTCGTTGATGTTGTTGTAGCTGGAGTTGCTGCTGCTGTTGTTGTTGTTGTTGCTGCTGCTGTCGTTGCTGCTGTCTTTGTTGCCGTTGCTGTTGTTATTGCAGCTGTCGTTGCTGTTGTTGTAGTTAGTGTTGCTGTTGCTGTCTTTGCTGCTGCTGCTGTTGTTGTTGCTGCTGCTGTCGTTGCTGCTGTCATTGTTGTCGTTGCTGTTGTTATTGCAGCTGTCGTTGCTGTTGTTGTAGTTGGTGTTGCTGCTGCTGTCTTTGCTGCTGCTGCTGCTTTTGTTGTTGTTGCTGCTGCTGTCGTTGCTGCTGTCTTTGTTATCGTTGCTGTTGTTGCTGCTGCCGTCCTTGTAGTTGTTGTTGCTGCTGCTGTCGTTGCTGTTGTTGCTGCTGCTGCTGCTGTCGTTGCTGTTGTCGTTGCTGTCGTTGTTGTTGTTGCTGCTGCTATCGTTGCTGTTATTGTTGCTTCTGTTGTTGTTGTATTTGTTGTTGCTGCTGTCGTTGTTGTTGCGGATGCTGCTATTGAAGTGCCAGTAGTTGATTCTTTTGCCGTTGTTGAAGAAGGCCCTGTTGTTGATACTGCTAAAGAAGTTTCTGTTATCGTTGACATTTCTTGTGATGTTGAAATTGAAATCCCATCTCCCATCATAAAGCACGTTGACGAGTTATCCGCCAGTATATAAGGGTCTGTGGTAGTTGGGGCGCTAAGTAAGGAACACACCCCCTTTTCTCCATGGTCAAGTTTTCGTTCATACGATATCACTTTGCATTCCTTTGTTAACAAACATTGGGCAGCACATTCAATCTGTAGAATATTTTATTTCGATGATTATATATGAAAAAAGGAATCTCAGGAAGTGGGAGAATTAGGGAATAACTATCTTCTAATTTGGTATTTTCGACCGTTAATGCTGATTTAACGGTCGCAAACCGAATTTTACTGGCGACACGTAAGCGGAGCCGGTAAAAACGAATGTTTGCGACCGTGAAATCAGCATAAATGGTCACAGATACCAAATTAGAAGATCAGTTAGTTCCACTCTTATGTATTCCATGCATTTTGTTTGTTGTTTACGTCTTATTTTGTTGAGTTTCGTTACATGAAATACGTCACAGAGCATTGTTTTTGCGTCGCTCTGTTATGACGTCACAATGAAATGCTTTCGCTTACGTTAATGCTCGTTTTACTGCTTCAACATTAATGCATAAGGCAATCAAAAGGTGTTTTACAGAACAATTGCATAAGAATTACAAATCAATGCAAATATCAAATTGAACTTTGAGACAGATCCTGGTTCTCCAATATCCTGCCTGGACTAAGAAAACAGTACGACATTTAACTCCGGACACGACATTGTCCAAACGTTTACTATCGTTTCTAATTGTGATATCTAATATAATTTTATATCAGTATGCAGTATCAAATGGCGTCATGTTGAAGTCACAAACATGTAAATGTTTTAAGATATGAATGTGCAAATGTCATAATCATTAGTAGAATCATTGGGTTTTTCTGTCCCACCAGCTATCCCACCTTTCTCCCATGGGAGAATAAATGTCAAGTGCCAGGATATTTTCTCCTACCAAGATTTTTTCCCCACAATTTATTCAATTGGGATACATCCCACAATATTGACGATGAAACATTTACTCCAATGTATTGTTAAACGTAGAATATATCCCCATACCGGTATATCATGATTTATGGAATATATTCCATGTTTCACAATGTATGGGAGCACATGTTTAATTGTAAATATTCGTGGGATTTATCCCATTTGAACATATTCATGGCAGAAAATATCCCATCTGACATATTTTATCATATGGAAGAATGGTAAGATAGGCGGTTGGACTAAAAATTTTCCAATTCTTCCATGGTATTTTTAATTTTAGGACTTCATATCGTTAGAAGAGATGTTTGTGAGTTCAACACAAGACCCTCGGATAACTGCTGAGAAATCCCACCAAGTGATAAAAAAATATATTTGATGTCACAAATTAGAAATGGTAGTAAAAAGTCTGGACGATGTCCTGTTCGGAGTTAAATGTTGTACTGTTGTAAGTATTATTCCAGTTCAGGCATTGGAATACTTTTTTAAGCTAGGTCCTTTTCATTTTCTATTCTCAATGTATGCTAGTATACTTGCCGTTGATTTTGAAATGGTGTTTGTCCTGATGACTATGGTTTAATATACTTTTTCCACACACTCTGTTTAGTAAGTATAGCTGTTGAAAGTTTGTTGCACTGAAAACTAATCCAGGTATTAGAGAGAAGATTTGTAAGGTCCAACATATATACATGATGAGTGTTCGAGAGATAATAAGAAAAGGATTTAAACTTTCCCCCAGGCAAAGGTAATGTTTCACGCTGTCTTGTATTGATTACACAGAAAAACGCCTCCCATTTTAACTTGATCACTTTCATTTGATCAGTAGCTTCGCATAATTTTTAAGTACAGAATAGACATCTAAAATCTATGCAGACGTTTAACATTTTAATATCCAATTCTTACTTAATGCTTGTTTAAAAACATTTTATATCATGCATATCTTAACGATTGTTTGTTAAGCTGAAAGAATTCTTAAATTGTTAAATAAAATTAAGTTAAACTGCTACATTCTATATAGAGTCTTAACAACTGCTTGTTAAGAATACCAAAAGAATTTTAAAGGATTTATTCTTAAAATCCATTTGTCACAAATACAAAAGGAAGACAAAAAGTATAAAGTCTTCACAAGCGTTTTTCAGAATACCAAAATAATTCCATATATTTAAAAAAATGATAGTTAGAAATGGAAAGGACTTCAAAGTAGAGTCTTAACAACTGCTTGTTAAGAATATTGGTAGAAATGCAAAGGAAGTCAAAGGGAATAAAGTCTTAAAATTACTGCTTGTTAAGAATGCACACTAGTCTCTTTGGCACCTGATCTCTCCTCTCGATTTTTTGATGCGAGAGTCTGTTGATTCTTATTTAATTTTTGTAACCAGTAGAGGTTAAACCGGCTAACAAGATGGCAGATTTGAAAATACATGTGAGAATTTACTTTTTAAACAAAGACATGTGCGTTTTTTGTTCCTTGTAAAGCAGACAGAGGTATTTTATTATAAAACCAGATAAAAGTAAAGGCGCAGCCTCTGACTTTTTAAAGAATACAGATCTTAGCATTCGAAAAGAATGTATCAGCCAAAATGAATGAAAATCCATACCGATTTCTCGGTATGGTTTGATATTACAAAAATTATCCATAATCTCGACAGAGTCTGAGAAAAAATATATTTTATATAATGTACAAGGAATTTCAAAAAATTTTTCTTGACAACTGGTTGTTAGAAATGCAAGAGACAATAGAATAAAGTGTTAACAACTGCTTGGTAAAAATACCAAAAGAATTTCATGAGATATATGATGTAACAAATGGTTTTATAAATGCAAAGGAAGACTATTGAACAAAGTCTTAACAAATGCTTGATAAGAATGCTAGATGTAAATCCATGGAGTCCTTTCAAAATGTTCTAGAAAACTAGAATAAAAATTTCATGATCAAACTTCCACGTCCCGGCTTAGTTTTCAACGGTCTAAGATCTAAATTCAACACCTTTGGTCTCAGTTTGGACGTTAAAAAATGATTTTTCCAGTCAAATAACGTTGACATGTCGGCAGGGGATGTTCATCCTCCATGGCACCTATCCCACTTCTGATGTTTTGGAGGTCCGTGTTTGCTCTGCTCTTGTTTTGTATTGTTTTTGTATTGTATGGACTTTGATATTGAAACTGTTCGTAGCATGCTCTACGTATGTGCGATTTCTAAAATGAGGTAAGTTATCTTAAACAAGTTGATGAAACAAATAAAAAAATTCATTTTCATAAGTTCTATGGTCATTTTGTGAAATACAATTTATCATTGAGTCAAATGCTGACTGGTTTTTCATACTAATTGTTAGTCCATTATTTATACACTGTTGTGACGGAATCATGACAAGGAGTGACCGTTGTGATGTTGGGGATGCACACTCCTCAATGGCACCTGATCCCATATGATTTTTTGGTGGTCCGTGTTTGCTCTGCTACTGTTTGGTATTGTTCTATGACTTTTGTTGATTACTTCGTTATCTCTATATTTTTCATTCAGTTGCATTCATGATGTTAAAAAGCCTATTTTGCAATTTCCATAACCACGTGATCTGAGAAAACACTTGCTGATATCCAATTCTCAACATTTAGATATATCGACGACGCATTGTCAATTAACAATGGTAATTTCCGTTCCTAAGTCGATACGATATATCCTGATGAGATTGAGATAAAAGATACCACAGAGTTTCATACTTGGACATTTTACTTGAAAAAGACGTTAATGGTAATCTAACAACCAAGCTATATGATAAACGTGATGACTCACTTTCCTATCGTCAACTTCCATTACTTATGCAGTAATATAACTTCAACAACACGGAGTATATATATCTTAGTTGATTCGATACGCAAGAGCATGCTCAACGTATGAACAATTTCTAAAACGAGGTAAATTATTGACAAGCAAGTTGATTAAACAAGAGTAACAGTCGTCTCGTTTAAAGTCATCATTTTGTGAGTTCTATGGTCGATATAATGACCTTGTCAGCAAATACAATTTATCATTGAATACAAATATTGATTGACGTTTTTCATATTAATTGTTAGTCTATTATTTATACACTGAATTGACGACAGATTTTTCCGTTATTTCCCGATCATGACAAGGAGCACAAGGCGGATGTGACCGGTCAGCAGGGGATGCTCACTCCTCCATGGCACCTGATCCCACCTCTGATGTTTCGGAGGCCCGTGTTTGCTCTGCTCCTATTTTGTATTGTTTTATGGACTTTGAGATTGAATACTGTTCGTTATCTCCATATCCTTCTTAAAGGTAGACTACAAATGCTTCTTAACAATAAATATTTTAAAAAGGACTAAAATAATTATGATAACAAAGAAACAGAATGAGTATTGTTACATGAACGCTTTCCAAGCGGTTAATACGCCCGATTAGAAATGGTGAACAGATAAATGTTTGCGAATGTCAGTGGTTATCACGATGAAATTTTACTGTTATAAAAGATTTTTCTAGTTTCTAAAATTAAGCTAATGTTTTAGTATTAATATTTAGTTTCATATTCTGATCTTTTCTTCTGCTTATGAACCTTATTCTTCTATGGACAATATACCGGGATTTGTAGTTTGAAATAAGTTGTGTACATTTGTATTCCCAGTAGATATTTGGGAAAGTCTTCTATTCCAGCCACTGTCATGCGTGTACCGATTCTCAAAAGCCGAGGTATAAACCGAAATCTGTCCCACGATTGTTTCAGGTTGATAAATGAATTGTTCTCTTAAGTCTTTAAGCAATGCTACACAATCTTTGACATTGAACTTGCGTCATATACCGGTTTATTCTGCTGTTCAGTTATAATTTGCCACATTAAACATGAACATGTATTCCATTAATAAAAAAATCGATCCTGTTTTTTTTTGTCAATGCAGTCATGCAGTATGAATTGTACATATATCTACTTCAAAGAAAACGACTAGTTCAAATAACTGAATCTGGCCCATGTGTATTTGTAGCTCTACACACTACAATTTTTTGTTGAGAAATTAAAGAAAAAGATATCATCTTCTCGGAAACTAAATTTCTGGATGTTATAAAGAGTCAAGGCCATTGGAGAGAATTACGAGGTATGTTAAGGACATAATCAACACACCTTACCTACTGATAATTCTTCAAGTTATTCTTAATTTAAGATTATAGTGTCATTAGATGTTCATAGCGAAAAAGTCAATATGCATCACCAGGGATTTTGAAAAGATATGATCATGAGTTGAGGAAAATTTTTGTTAAATTTAAATAAAAATATGCAAAAGTTATAGAATATATGTTCCACGTGTTTGGTTTTTCAAAACTTGTTGTAGAAGAAGTGTACAACAGCATAGATAAAGATGTTAAAAAGTAGCCCACAATTCGTTTAAGCATCGGAACTCTTCAATTCCAGCAAAAAATACAATAAATATTACATGGCGTTCGGGAGAAGTGTTAAGCGTCGAGACTGTCAAGCCTCTGAAAAGAAACCAGAACTCTAGAACAAGATTAATTGATGCAAAACATGAAAACGATCACAAAACGCGTAAAGCATCATTTCAGTATTTTATAGAATTTTTGCAAATATATTTTCCAAGGAATAAAAAAATCAAATTATTAAAAAGCAAAAATTACATTACCAAGCATGGTACACTTAATTTAAAAGCTGTTCCTGTTTTATTAACGCATGGAAAGTGCCATTTTTGCAACTGTAATTATTCATGTATTCAAAACGAAATTAACTACCTTTAAAAACGTTAAAAACTAATATATATTACGTAATTACATTACAGAAACTTGCTACGTTTTCCTTTTATAGCTTTTGCACACCCACCTTGGGGAGCAGTTCATACATTTACTTTTTATAAGAAAATAAATTAATGAATATCTGCTGAAAAGTGAAAATTAAATTGAAACGTAGAAAAGCCATAAGGAGAAGGTTAAAGAGAATTTTTAAAAGGTTTCATTCAATAAAGAATTATCTCATCGAGACAATGAAAAAAATGCCTCAATTTCCCATGTGCACATTCTAAAACAACTGAATAACGGAGCGTGGAAGAAAGAAAAAAAAATATATTCGTTTTAGATGCAAACATTTGACATCAAAGTAAACACGTTTTTTTCAACGTCAACGCCTCTGTCATTATGCTTGGCTTTGTCAATTTTAATTTAATAATCCAAGATGTTAATAAGGACCTTAATTCACTTATTTTAAAAGAATCCTTAAAACGGAACCCTTATCTTTCAACTAGCGTCATGATTTTATAAATATTAGTGTATGAATTCTGTGGAAGATTGGCGATGGAAAAAAAGTAGACCTTGACACTTTCTCAGAATTGATTAATGTATCGCGGGTGTATTTTAAAATCTCTTATAAAGCAATTAAGGGTAATATGATAATCCTTCTACAAGTAAGTTTAGTAAGTAAGTTAAGTAAGTTTAATAATTCATCTATGTGAAAAAATAAGATAATTACAAAATCACTATGTAAATATTTGTCCCAGCTGAAAAAAGCAGGTAAAAACATTATCTTTGTAAGGTTAGATATTAATTTGTATTTCAGCATGTTTAGAGAAACTGAGATTTAATTCTACAAGTAATAATCCAACTTATACCCATGTACCCCCTTACTAAGGAAGAGATTTTTTTTCAAAATAGTATGTCAGTTTTGAAAAATTTTTATACTCCCAACAAATAAAATAAATTTTAATTAAAGTCAATTATCCATCGCTATCAGATTCCGATATATCTTTGAAACAAAGAACAAACAAAAATTCATAGCGGGTTCAGGTAAGTGTTCCACAAATCCTCTTTTTTCTTTTCACTAAAACATTAACATCAGTGAAAGGGAACCTTCAGTGCAACAATATATTCGAGAAATTCCAAATAACTTTTGGAAAATCTGAAATCACAAAATTGTTTGAGACACCTCCAAAAATTAAATCATTTATGTTATATTTTATGCATACGTATTGTACATGTACTCTGATATTTTCACTGCATGTAAATTTCTAGTCAGTCTCTAGGGGATCACACCTGTACCTTTAACCTATGTACATGTTTTAGCCTGTATTGTTTAATATTAATTGACCCCCCTTAATGGTTTGTTTAATGAAATGTAATAATCGAAAAAAAACTGCATATCTATGTTTGGTAATTTTTGATGCACTAACAGACTAATAATTGGCAAAGGTGGCATAAATACTGCATATTTACAGTACTTTTCTTTATAAACAAAAGCATGAACACAATTTTTATTACTAGTTGTGTAGCTTTGTTCTTCATAAGCATCCCATTACCACAAGAAATTATATTTAGCCTACTTACATGTTCATTTACGCCAATCCAAGGCTAAACTATATTTTCATTAACCGCATTGCATCTGCGCCAAGTTTACGGTCACTGGTGAAACAACATTATGGAGTTATATGATCACTTTTATCGGATTTTCAATTCTTCTGTGCTTGTGTTGTTTTCTTGTATGGGTAAGCGGTTATTTGCTGATTGACAAATTTCAGATTTCTAACTAGAATTATTGTATCTAACTTCAAACACGGTCTTGTATTTTGCTCTCTAAACGCATACAGGGTGATCCAAAATATGTGTCTCTTACACTCGTTTTCTATCACTCTACCTCTCTCTGTGTATACAAGTACAGCGTAATGTTGTTTGACATATTCTTAATTTGAAAATATTCTTTGTTTTTTGTGTTCTGACCACTTGTAATATTGTTGCTTATATATTTTATTAGATCAAGTATTGTTTTCAATGTTTGAGGCGGTATTGTAAATAAACTAAGTCGGAGTAACCCGCATGTGAAGCGGTGATGATGCTGGTAAAACCATGTGCCGCAACTCATTAATGTCAAAACCTTTTACGTATCAACTGCGCTTCTAAAGAGCATACATAGATCACTCTTAATACCTCTGCAAAAATGCTTCTCGATCAAAGGGTTTTTATTCAAGATACGGGATATAGATATTATACTTACAGAAAACTTTACATGATTGAATTTTACAGTAAATAGCGTCACTTATTACCGTATTATAAGTGGCATCAGATAAAATAAACCATGAAGATAATAAAAAAAAATGATAACAAAGAATTGAAAAATTGGGGTATGAAATTTCACTCAAAGCTAATGACTACACCAGATTATTGTTTATGTATTTAATAATCATTCTGAAAAATCTGTATCATAGTCATCTCCCTCGGGAAATGATGCATTAAGGTCAAGATCTAGTAAATGACCTTAGACTAATTTTTTGCTAAGCCTAAATCAATTTCAACTTTCTTTTTCCCGTACTTTCTTCAGTTGTAGAAAATAGGCTCATTCAATTTGAAATCATATGAAAAGTAAACCGGATACCTATATTAAATTTGAATTTTAAAGATGAACAAACAAATTACACTGTTTTTTCCGAGAGACTTAGGCAATCTGGATACATTTTCTTAATATAATAAAAACTCCCATATTCACGACTGGTTTTCTTAATTTTGCAGTGAAAATGACAGTTTAAAACACAGTTTTCCATCTTGTTTACCTACAAATCATGCCCCGGACCAAGCTTAGTTGTAAAGCATCAATAAAAGATTTTATTTTTCAGATTTGATAAATATGTAGGCACCTTTCATTTACTAGATCTTGACTTAAGTTAGAAAGCCCAAAATCGAATTCCAATGTATGCCGACGTTTTCTAGTTGGTGGTCTTACAAATAAGGACTGAAGATTGTTTAATTTGACATTCTTAACAGTGGGATGAAAGAAACGGGAAATTTTAAACTGATGATAGCGACTTTTCTAAATATAGACTTCGGTACGCGGACAAAAGAAAAAGGGAAACTAAAATGAAATCAAATTCAAATATAAATTCAGATATAAACTTCAAAGTAAAAAACAGTTGGAATGTAAGGAAAAGTTGACCTTTTTGTTTTGTATGACCTTGAAATGACAAATGCAGAACAGATATAAATAAATAATTTGCAAAAACAATAGTGGTTGTGTAAATTATAAATTTTTAAATTATTTATTGGAAGAAAAGAGCAACCTGAAAAGGTGGCATGGTCTTTTCTTATAATCATATATTTTTTAACATTTTCCATTTTTTCTTTTCATAATAAAAAATCAAAAAGTTTTCATCATCTTAAATTCATTTTTTTTTATTTGATTATTGTGTCTAATAGAAAAATTAACTACAATATCATTTTTATATACATTTAGATGTGGTCACGGCCCTTGAATTCAACGTGACGGTACCATTCGGAGCAGAACTCCACCCGGGAGACCGATTCACGGCGTCCTGTAACATCTGGGGATATCCCCCCATTGACCTCGTCACAGATCTGACGGTGCACTGGAAATTCCAGGATAGCTATATTTGTGTTTTTGGAGATAAAATGGAAGATGTTTCTGAAAAATATCAATGTTCCTCAGTAACGGAATATGACCAAGAAAGCTTTATTTTATCAATCTCAGGTAAATGTTCGATTATTTACTGTAGATTGTTGTGTGCGCATTTTTCCCTTGAACAAATTGATCAATGTTCCCTTTATTTGAACAAATTTGAATCGCCTTCTCCCAAGGATACTCTGTGCAAAATTTTGACCAACTAGACATCTAGAACTGAGAAAATTTATTTTTAATTTCATAAAAGTCAACTACAAGTTTAAGCATTTTTTATTTTTATGTTAATTTTTCTATTTATATTGTAAGAACAGAACAGTATATATTAACTTTTTTATTAATACGTTTTATAAAATGTCTAACATTCACAAACGTTTTTAATAGCAATAAATGTTGATTAATTTAATTTTGATATTGAAAATAAAGTATAATTTTAATCATTATGAAAATATTCTAACCCGCTTGACAAGTACTTTCAGTACTTTGATTTCTACCATTAGCGGTGTCTTCAGAAGACAACGGTAATTACACCTGTGAAGTCAAGGAAAAGAAGAAAACATCACCGATGCAATCCCTAGTAGAGCTTATAGTTGTTGGTAAGTTCTGTGATGATTGATTAATTGTATATTGTTTAACTTTCCTCTCGAGAATTTTTTACTCATATGGAAACGCCACCACTTGCCGGTGGAGAGCTACAAATTTTGTCCTATTCTCCACACTTAAGGCCTTTGAACAGGAAGGAATTTTTTTCTTGTCAGCACCCACTTCTACACGGGAGCTCAGTTTATACCGTCTCATCCGAAGGACCGGTCTTCACGTCCCACAGTGGGATTCGAACCCTCGACGTAAGGATCGACTTATACTTCGCGACTCTAAAGCAGACGCTGTAACCACTGTGCCACGGGTGACTTTTGTGATGAAGGTATGAGCCAAACTTAAATTCCAAAGGCACAAGTCGCAGTATATCATGAAAGATAAAGAAGATTAACTGGATAGTATATCAAGAACTATCTGTTGAGCACATAAATATTATTATGATTTCACTGCATCTTTACCCATTATTTCTAAAATTTATACTTTTTTAATCATGATGTTCACAAAAAGAAGCCAGATGGTCGTGATTTTTTTTTTTAAATTCTTTTTCTTGAAACATGCAACAGTGAACAGAAATGACAGCTAGATGGTCAAAGATTAAGATTTCCACACATAGACATTTAGGCCATTTCAAGTTTTTTTTATGTTGAGAGTCGGATAATATCTTTGAAATTATAAAATCAAAATGAAACACAATTTTAAAATGATAAATTTTTACAAATCTTTGAAACGTAATATTCTCTTTTGGCTTTTGATTAGCAACTCTCTCCTTTTTTATGGCGTTCCAAAAATATTTTGCTTTAATAAACTAGTAGTTAAACTTAGTTACAATGTTAAAAGAATTTTTCAATGATGATGATCAGAAAATCTAGTGTTATGCCTTAATTGTTGCTTTATTTCCTTACGGTTTGTGTTTTTTTTTCCTGATAGAAAGATAGGATTTCTAATTTAGGGTGGACGCTTAACAAAGAAAAAAAAAATGGCCTTTTGATGTTTATGTATGATTTTGGAGTGAGTACAAGGTTTCAGTGTGTTTAGTTTCAAAGGGTATTGAAGGGTAGAATAAACTGAAAATTAATATTAATACATTGATTTTTTTTGGCATTTGCAAATCCAATTATTGAGGGAGAGAGAGAGAGAGAGGTCTCATTATATCCACGGTACATGTATCTTTCAATTTCCTTTCAGAACCTACGACAGTGTTACAAATCACGGGTAAGTGCACTCAGTTGAAATCATTTCTTTAAATCATTAAAATGCACTTACAATTCGCTAGTGAAGTTAAAAATTGAACCACCCAATATGATCTCGATATTTAATTTTTACATATTTTATGTGGCAAAAGATCTGAAAAAGAAATTTATAAAATAATGATTTTTTGAATTTTTGTTTTCTATGCAGTAAAAATAAAAAAAGATTTTTTTAAAACAATAATTAAGAATTTATCAATTGTGTGGCACATTAATTTCTAAACTTCTTGTCTCTCACACTAATGTTCTAAGCTTAAAGCAAGATTTGTTTGTTACTTAATCATTTTACAACTGAAGTTAATAAAAGTTTTGCTAATTTTATTTATAACAGAAAATCCAGAAACCACCGCCGCCACAACCATGGCTGCTAAAAACGGATGTCCTTCAAGTCACTTTCAACACCTTTTATTGCCTCTGTGTATCCAAATATTGTCATTTGTTATCCTACATTTTTAGTTAAGTAATGTTACAAAATTTTTACAGCCTGAGTAATGTTTTTTCACATATATTACTGTAAAATATTTTTCTCATAGCTTTTTTTTATAAGCGGAATGAAATTTGCTGTCATGTTTAACACTTGTGATCCCCCTTTTCAAAAGTCGAATTTGTTTTTTAATGAGATTTGTGCAGATTTGTAATTGCTGGATGTGAAATTTCAATAGAAATGAGTTGCGGTTTACAAGAAGTTTTTATTTCAATTTTGTGTCCAACATATTTTATTCAAATTAATTAGCCCCCCCCCCCCCAAAAAAAGAGAGGATTTTTTTAAAAATTTTCCGTTGATGTATTATGTTGTAGGAAGATATCCAGATCTCTTTCATCAACATGGATATGTTTAAATATGATATGATTTGAAATATTGGCCAGTAAAATGCCAATTTTGATCAAGAAGAATGTTTATGTACATGCAGTTTGTTTATTAAAAAGTGAAAACGTTTAATGGTTTTGACATCTTTTAAAATGTTGTAATATATCACTTGATTTTTAAACGTAATATTATGCGGTCGTCCAGTTCTCATTCTTGTTAAATCTATGTTCAACATGTGCCTGCCAGAAAAGTTGTTCATTTATGATTTTATTGAAAATAATATGTCAGCTTCTATAGATACGATTTTAGTAATAGCTATTATCACCATATTTTGCCTGTTGTCGACGTCGCTTCATGTAATATAGTAGGATTTATAATATCGGGGAATAGAGGGTGATTTTTTCATTTTATGTTTTGGAAGCCATCATACATTACTGGGATCGTCGTTTCCGGTTTGATGACCTATATGTATTTCCTAATAATGTATTGTTCTATTCAAGTTATGAATATGAGATCATATTCTACATTTTGGTTTGAGTTATTTTGTAATTTGAAGCTCAAGTTGTTATTTATTGTAAGCATTAACTTTATAATCAGTCAGCTTTATCGGGACTACATTAATTTCGCTAGTGTCGGTAGTTACGATATTCATACGCTACATTGTTCAGCATATATTGTACAGTCTAGAGATGTTTTAATAACATTGAAGGAATCTATTGATTCGTCTAGTCGAGCTTATTTTATGTATTCTATTCCCCTTTGTTAATTTTACATAGTTTTACTTGTTGCGATGTTGTACAGTAGCTTGTGTGGCAAAAGTAGTTCTGTGCGAGAACTCAGCCTCCCGTACAAGCTACTGACTGGTTAAGAGTTCGTACGGCATAATTTCATTGGATAATTTGAGTCATATGACAGTGAATAGGAGGTTATATAAGTAAGCGCGTACTACGCTAAGACAGATTTCAGCTAGTTGTATGGCGGCAACATTCGAAAACTGAAAGAAGAAAACAAAGACGAGGATATTGATGATTTTTGATCAAAACTTTTCTGATCATCCATTACTAGTATCCGTTCTGAAAAATAGTTGGGACAAAGAAGCTGAAACTTGCGTGGAAGTATCTTTAGGTGTGTTTAATTAAATTAAGTAAATTGTTCAGATAATGGTCTCCGGAATAAAATGGGGGCTAAATATGGATATGGGAACGCATATCTTACTTCTACTTTTCTGCTCAGTAATGGAAATATTAATGCTTTGATGAATCATGCTAAATAATGTGACCCTAATCTCTGGTGGCCCCTATATATAGGGTGAGGCCACAAAGGCAAATGATTTAATGAAAGTCTATGAAAATCTTTTGTAGAACAGAAGGGTGAAAGCGACTCAGTTGCCATTGTAGCCCATGGGCCTTATGTCCGTTAAGTTATTTGTTTTATTCTGTAGGAATAAGAACAGATAACACAATTTCATGTGTACAAGTATTGATATTGTATATACATGTAGAATTAAGGTACCGTAAAATAAAATCAAAATTATACACATTTAAGCGACTTTAAAGTTTGTTCGTTTTTCTAACCAACAACATCAGGTGTGCATGGAAGATCCACGACTTTCTGGAACTGGTCCTGATTGGTGTTAAAAGTTTTTTGATAATTGTCCGGATCTACGTAACTCGCCAGAATCCAGTGGGTTTTGATATTATCGTGCGCGGCATAGTACACGCCAGTCCAGCTCGCTACGGACCTGGCATTCCGGAATTCATTCTTATAAGCGACTGACCATCCCACAATGTATTCCGTGGTATTTACCTGTACATATCTTCCGATCAGGTCGTATTCTTTCTCAGCGTTTCCTACGGCGCTGTAATAATGCCCAGATAGTGTTCCGTTTTTACAAGAAAGTTTCATCTCTGACTGTAGTTGATTTCTCCAGACCCCTGCTAACGCACACTGTTCATCGTGTGATGATCTGCAAGATGATGAACCTGAAAAACATCACACTTAATATTTTTACAAGCAATTTACAGTGAGATTTTACTTGCTATTTATGATCAATTTATATTTTTTTCACAACGTGATATACGCAATACTATAAAAAATAGTGACTGAAGGATAGTTTTGACAGTACAGTAAATATGCTTACAGAGAAGTGCGAGGGAAGGACGTGACAAACAATGGTTCGATTCTTTATTACGGAAAACAATTAGAACCAGAGACCGTCTTCATAAAAAAGCACATAAAACTAAAAGAGAATCTGATCGGTCTGAATATAGAAAGGTACGGAATTCGGTTAACAATATGAAGAAACATGCTATGGCTAATTATTACGACAATATTGAAACATATTTAGAGGACTCAAGTAAAAATAATAATAAACTTTATTGGAAATTGATGAAGGTTTCATTCAACATTAAACTCTCTAACGAGATACCACCTATTGAAATATATAATGATAAAGGTGGTAAAAAGTTGACTTACTCTGACTCAGACAAAATTGAAACCTTAAATTCTTTTTTTTTCATCTATTTCTACTATTGATGATTCAAACGAAACACTACCAAACATGTACAATCTATGTAGTAGCACATTTTGTAAAATATCAATTGAAGAACATGAAGTATCAGACATTATTTCAATACTTCCTGTGAACAAAGCTATAGGTCCCGACTGTATAAGCCATAAAATGTTAAAATCCACTCTTCAGTCTGTTGTTAAACCACTCACTATGTTATACAACAGGTCCCTGTCAGATAGAATATTTCCATCTTTCTGGAAAATAGCTCATGTTATTCCTCTTTTTAAAAAGGATGACCCCTCTTTGGTTTCAAATTATAGACCTGTATAGCTGTTATCTTGTGTTAGTAAAATTATGGAAAGAATTATTTTTAAACATATATGTACAATTATTTTCATGGTAATAACCTGTTTTATCGATATCAAGGCGGTTTTTTACCCGGACATTCTACTGTGTATCAAATACTAGAAACATATCATAGTATTGTACAAAATATTGATGAAGGAAAACTGTTGTATGGTTTTTTGTGATTTATCTAAAGCATTTGACAGAGTATGGCACAAGGGTCTCATTATTAAATTACAAACTTATGGTTTATCCGGAGATATCCTTCAGTGGTTTTCTAGTTATCTAAATCATAGGTCACAAAAAGTAATGTATAAGGATTTGTTCTCTTCAAAACTTTATTTAAATGCAGGTGTACCACAGGGCTCTGTATTGGGGCCACTTTTATTTCTGATATATGCAAATGATGTTGCTGAAAATATGATGTCCATGTGTAGATTGTTTGCTGATGATAATTCGCTTCAACAATGTTCATACAATATTTTAGACATTGAATACAAGCTAAACCACGATTTACACATTTTAGAATCATGGTCAGATAAATGGCTTCTAAAATTTAACCCATCTAAAACAAAGGTAGTCTTCTTTAACACAAAGGCCATCTCTATTATGCCAAAATTAATTTTTAAAGGAGATAGGCTAGAATGCGTCCCAGTCCATAGACACTTGGGTTTATAATTGTCACACAATCTCAGCTGGTCTGCATATATTGACGGTATTGTAAATAAAGCTTATAAAAAACTTGGGCTTTTGAAAAAACTAAAGTTTAAATTGAGTAGAAATAACCTTTCAAAATTGTACACCACATTTATTAAACCAATGCTCGAATACGCTTCTGTTGTATGGGATGGGTGCTCTGAACAAGATTCTGAAAAGCTGGAAAAAGTACAACTAGCTGCGGCTAGAATTGTCACCGGACTTCCTATTTTTGCATCTACTGAAACACTTTATTTAGAAACTGGTTGGGAAACTTTAAAATTTAGGCGTTATGTTGCAAAAATGTCTACTATGTTCAAAATACATAAAGGGACTGTCCCTGAATATTTAAAGACATGTAATATTGTACCAAACAAGCATGAAAATGTATCAAAATACAATACCCGCAATAAAGAACAGTTCATTATTCCAAGATGTAGATTAGAACTATTCAAAAAGTCATTTGTGCCAGACGCCGTGAAACAATGGAATTTATTGAAATTAGATACAAGAGAAGCCGTAAAAACTTAAGGGCTTGTATAAAAATCATCAATCCGCCAACATATTTTTCTTTTGGTAAACGCTACACAAACATACTTCATACTAAACTAAGACACAACTGTTTACTTAATTATGATCTATATAAACGCAATATTATCAACAGTCCTCTTTGTTCTTGTGGAAAGTATGAAGATGTTTATAATTATTTTTTTGCTTGTACAAAGTATGCAAATGCTAGAAACAATCTTTTTAACTACCTGTTCATGCTTGAAGAATTGGTTACAATTGACACTAACCTACTATTATGGGGTGATAGAGATTTGCCTGTATCAACTAATATTAATATTTTTGCTGCTGTCCATAGATTTATTACTGAAACATGTAGATTTTAAATTGATTTGTAATTAACTTGCATCACTTGAAAATATAATAAATATGATATGTTAATGTATTATTTGCATGACATATTGTTATATTTATGGAAAGAAACTTGTAAGTTGCAAGAATTTGTTTCCAATCCATTTGACTCGTTCAATAAAATATGTTCAAAACAAGGGAAGGACGGCCGGTTTAAGTACGTTTTGACTTTAAATATTAAAACAACTGAATACACGCTAATTTAGTTTGACATATATGTGGTAGGATTGCGTTGTATGATACAAGAGACGCACAATATCTCATATGACAATTTCAACAACCTACGTATATGTCTAGTTAACGTTTATATACTTTATAAATTGAAATATTCCTATAAAACAAGTAATGAACTAAAAAAAAATAATAACCGCATAAGTTTAAAATGGCCGAAAAATGGCTCTCTCAAATCTAAAAGATAAAGGTCATATGCACCATCGAAACATTTTGAATTGGCTGTGTTAATTCAAATAATTTTAAGAATATCGTAAATATGATACTACCATATCATAAATATAATACTACCCAGCCCAATATGAGTTGAAATAGGGCAACTTGGATTAAAATGTCATATGTAGGGATATTATCATTTAATATTTTTCATGTATTTCAACTCACTAGCCGCCCTGGGAAAAGACTGAACAGCTAACACAGTACACAACAAAACCAGAATGTATACGCCTATTTTCATCCTGTAATTAAAATAAAGATTTTTCATTGTAGTGAATTAATAATTAGAACATATTACATGGATCTCTAAAACAGGAAGAAAACTACTCTTTGATCATCCTACTAATTTTATAAATCATGCTTCGAAAAAGTATTTATGTAATATATTTATTAAAAAATAATAATAAAAAAATAGAATTCAAAAACAAACAGCGGAAGCTTTTTATTTGTATCTATTTAAAGGGGAAACATATCAAAGTTAAATTTACCTTGACTTTACACCTCTTTCCTTTACGAATAATGCTTGAAAAGGTCGTTATCAATTTATATACCTTTATTTTATGTAAACAGATGGTCACGTGACCAGTTACTTGTATCAGGGACAAATTTTAGCAATTATAGATACATTTCACTTTTTTAATGAGTAATAAAATAATGTGTGATTCCTGTGTTGGATTTAATTTGAAGTTGTACGTTTTCGTTTAATTTGACCGATTGTTGGAGATAAAGTTACACTCAGAATGTTTTTAATCAATTAAACATAATTATAATATTTACTTATGATACCATTTGCATTATGCACTCTATCGTTTAAACAGAAAAACCCAATATAATTTCCATGATATCATAGAATGTCAGGAGAGGTAAAAAACAATATGTGTTTAATAAAATCTTCAACTAAAATGAAATTTTTAGACATCATTTTTTGTTGTTGACATTATGTATTTTCTTCTCATATCTTTTGGTTGTTTTTCTTTTTACATTAAGTGTGTTTCTTTTATTTTGCATTTTTAAATAGAAGTAAAGTAGTATTATTTTTTCTTTTTTCCCCTTTTTGCATGATGTTGAATTGCTTTTCATCTTTTTATTTAAGTTTAAAACATTTTAATGATTGCTCACGTAATTTTTTTACCATAGATCTTGAGCGATTTAAAAGAACAAAGTATCATACGTCGAAAAATTCAGTGACTGGATGTTACTAAATGTATTAATGGGAAAGGCTTTTATTTTGATTTTTTTCTCATCATTATTATATTTAGTTTTTAGTTTAAACAGTTGTTTTGTTTTTATTGGTTACATGTACAATGTACATATACTGTTTTTTGCTTTGTATTTTATTTTATTTTTTTCTTCAATTTAAATATTCTTGTTTTGAATACATAAAAGATTTTGGTTCAGGAACCAGGAAGTATTCACATGTCGAGATCCTGACAGATTTGGAATGGTAAAAGGTTAAGAAGCTAAATAAATATTATGTCCATGGGTTGGTCAGTTTGAAATGAATCCCCGACAACATTAATTCTCCAGTACAAATAAAAGACTGATAGAATCAAAATATGTTTTCTAAATAATCCATTCCAAAATAGAATCTCTAAAATCCAGATGATTTTATTTTTCTTTATCTATATGTATATTTGTCAACGGCGTTTTGGAATTTATTTACGTCCTGGGAGAAAAAGTTGAGACAAATGCTTACTAATTTTAAATCTTATTTCAAACATCTTTAATTTTAATGAAAACGAAAAATTATGAAAGGAAATTCAGTTGATATTTTGCCCATCGTACGGAAGCAAATTTATGACCTATCAAAATATTTTTCGATTCGATATAATGAATTGTCGAATTTGTTAGAATTAATTAAATTGAGTTATAACGAATTTAATCTGTCATTAAAAAATTGTTAAATTCCTTAAAAAGTATTGAAAATTTGATATCACAAATTTTAGAATTGGCTATAACGAATTTTAGAAATTTTTAAAACGAATTTTAGATATTGTTTCAAAGACCTTCAATATGTTATAACAATTTTTAGAATACATTTACATGTCTTTAATTCGTTATAACAAATTCGAAAGTGCGTTATATCGAATGTCTGATGGTTACTTAATGGAATTACGTAAATAATACACAGATTTTTTTTAAAATGTCCTTTTTAAGGTACGTTTAATGGCAAAACAAAATACTGTTAGCATTAAATATGACTGAAACATATGAGGATAATGAACACTATTCAATAAGACAATATTGGTCAAACACGGACATCCAAAGCATCAGAGATGGGATCAAGTGGCATGGAGGAGTGAGCATCACCTGCCGATCGGCCACATCCACCTTGTGCTACTTTTCATGATCGAAAAATAGCAGAGAAATCCCTCGTCAATTCAGTTTATAAATAATAGACTAACAATTAGTATGAAAATCGTCAGTCAGCATTTGACTCAATGATGAATTGTATTTGCTGATAAAGTCATTGTATCGGCCGTAGAACTTACGAAATGATGACTTACAATGTAGACAAGACTGTTGATATTCTTGTTTGATCAACTTGTTTGTGAATAACACTTTGTTCAAGGAATTGTTCATACATAGAGCATGCTCTTGTGCATCGAATCAACTGAGATATATAAACTCCGCATGCAGGTGATGAAGGTATATTGCTGCATAAGTAAGGGAACTTGAGGATAGAAAAGTTAAATTCATCACGTTTATCATAGAGCTTGGCTATTAGATTACCATTCACGTCTTTTTCAAGTTAAATATCCAAATTTGAAACGGATGAGTCAGACTCTGTGGTATCTTTTATCACAAGTTCACCAGGATATATCGTATCGACATAAGAATAGAAATTACCATTTTTAATTGACAATATGTCGTCGATAGATCAAAATTTCGAATTGAAGGCCACAACAAGTATTTTCTTCTTTTCACACTTAAGATTACGCACAAATTCTGCTTCATAAGAATGCTAAAATAGGTCTGCTAATATCGGGGTACAATTGGTACCCATGGAAATTCCAATATATCGTTGGAAACCCTGATCTCCAAAACCCACATAGATATTGTCAATCATAAACTCAAACATCTTTTTTATGTCAGAGTACTTGTGTGTAGAATCGGAACGTATTTTAGTCAATTAATTTTGCAAATGACCAATGACAAGGTACCGGTAAGTAAATCTACGAGTTCCAACAGCTGTCAATTACAATGTATATAAAAAAAGCATGGAATTTAAATTATCGCAGGGAATGGTTGCATCTACACCTATACATTGACCCTGGAAAATTTCCTAAATCTATGAATAAAGTTAATTTTTCATAAATATGCCGCTTGTACAAAGAAATGGATAATGATATACAAGAGTGAAGCCAAAATATTCCTAATTTCTCCATACTGTCAAAATGCCTGTAATTACTGGTTTTTCCCCACGTGATGGACCGTATCTATAAAGGAAGGTAAATAAAACGACATCTCAGTAAGCCTCTTCCCAACCAAGAGAGAAGAATTTCTAGGTAAATTTGAAACTGTTATTTAACAACAAAAT